GCTTTCCGGGAGAGAGAGGCCAGGATAAGAAGCGGTACTGATCACAGAAGGTGGAGTCACTCCTGGTGGGGGTGGGGGGGTGCGGGGAGCAGGAGGTGGGGAAGGCCTGTAAGTGGGGGCACACGCAGACACCTGTAAGCCAGGGGACTCCAGGAGCCTCCTCGGCAAGTCTGAGAAGCCCAAACACGGCACTCTCACCCCCCAGACTCTCAACAACACAACAGCCGTTTCTGTTTTCTCGGCTTCCGCACTGTGGTATCTGGGCAGGTTTTAGGAATTCATTAGGCTTCTCGCTATTATGCAGCCAGATGAAGCTCAACGATTTTCCGGGCGCCATAAATACAGGCTTTTATGTGACTTACGCAAAATAACATCAATCTTCACATGGGAAAGTCACCTGTGGATTGCTAATTAAGCCAGTGAAACAGCTCAGCCCTACTCCAAAAGATTAGCCACGCGGCAAAGACATCAGTTTTTAAAGCAAGGTCTATGCAGCAGGTAGGAAACGTTAATCAAAAGATGTTCTTCAAATAAAGTGCAATTACACTAACTTCCTTTTCACCTCCCGGCACGATCTCTGCTCGAAGAAGATGCCTCCAGTTCCTTCATCATGCCGTACTCTCCCAGGGACAAGAGTCACGTTTCTGGCTTGTTTGCAACCAGGAAGAAAATACTGCTATCTGTCAGCCGATCCTCCCACGTCTACGCGTCTAACGTACGTCACTGTTTTTCAAGGTGAAGAAAAATCACACGCTCCTTGTCCATTCAGGATTTCTGCCCGATAGCCGCTCACGCTGCCAGATAAGCTTTACCAAACGCCCACCGGACACAATGCCCGCACTAGGGGTGAGGGGCCCGGTGAAAGGCACCTGCGTGGCTACAGCGATTCCCACATTTCAACCGCCCCGTGAACGTGTGTGCAGCACACACAGGGGTGAGGCGTTCAGGGGTTAGGAGGATGGTACACGGACCAAGGACACTTCACACTGAGCATCCAGGGGAAGAGCAGAGGAAGTACAGTCCCCTAGCTTTCCGTGCACCAGTAACGAAAGGGCCCATCGAGCAAGGTTTTCCTTTAGCTGGATCTCCAGGTGAACTATAGTTACTAGACAAGAGGAAATACGTCGAAACACAATCAAGGTTCCACAGCCAGAAAAGGAATATTTAGAGTAACTGTAGGATTCGTTGCACACGATGAAAAGCAGAACAACGGTAAAAGCGTTTGAATCCCAGCACGCTACACATTGTTGGCGATTCTGCTGGTCTTTGCCCAGATCTGCCATAACAGAGAGCAGCCTAAAAGTTCAGGGAAGGTGTAGAAACAGATTTACCAGGAGGTGCCTGATACGGGAAGTTCTCCGTGGGAGGGGGGCCCCCAGCGGCCATGTTGCAAAATGCATGCCTTCAAAACCACGATCGAGAATAAATACACCTATCCATCAGGGATATTCCCACGTCCCTCGTGTCACCTGGACCTTTTGATAAAACCAGGCTCAACGTCTCCAGGGGGGGGTGCCTGGGTGGCTCAGTCGGTCAAGTGTCCAACCTCGGCTCAGGTCATGATCTCGCAGTTCGTGGGTTCGAGCCCCGTGTCCGGCTCTGTGCTGAGAGCTCGGAGCCTGGAGCCTGCTTCGGGTTGTGTGTCTCCCTCTCTCTGCCCCTCCCCCGCTCACACTCTGTCTCGTTCTCTCTCAAAAATAAAAAAACACCCACAAATTAAAAAAAAAAAAAAACAGGCTCAACGTCTCTAAAACATAGTGTCATTTTTTTTAATGCTGGCAGGCTGGGATTCAGAGGGCTTCCGATCTCTTCTCTGGCCCAGGCCAATCTCTGAACATCCCAAGAATCAGCCATCACACAGGCATCTCACCAACCTGCCACACCCCAAATTCTACCGCTCAAACACAGAACACTGACTTTAAGGAAATGACCTACTGAAGTAAAACCTGGCCCTCTTCAAAGCCCCAGATCACTCACACATGAACTCACCTCGCTGTCGGAGACTTCTCTGTCGTTAATAATAAATCGGTAGCTGGCATCTGGTGATAAGTGCTCAGCCTGGAGCCAGAAGCGAACCTGGCCCTTATCAAAAATCTCATAAGCTAATTCTGATTTCAAAGGAATTGCTACAGGAAGAAAAGAAATCAGAAGTCAATAATGCATGAATCCTTATGAGAAAAATTGCTACATATTGGTGGAAAATATCAATCCCAGTTATTAAATTTTTTGCAAACGTGAAGCCCAGGAGTACTGAATTGGATTATGAAAACCCAAAATAAAAACAAACCCCTCGTTAGCCTGCTGTAGTTAAAGGCGTGCCGTGCGAGCTTTGTGTGCCCGTCGGCACAGCCTCGCTTTCCTGGCTGATCCGACGGCTGCGAATGTATCGATCTGTGTATTCAGTGTAACTCAATCACCCAAGGTGCCATCTGACTGACTCACTTGGATTAGGAACAGCTATGCTAAGCCCCAAATTCTAACCACTCTCTATGCAATAAAAATTTCTACGAGTTACAGTACCAATTCGTTTTTGTTTTAAATGTGCAGGGGACACGCCTGTAAGCTGGGAGCGTGAAATGAAGGCGCTCTGCCCCAAAGAGCTCCTCCGTGAGCTCCGTGCGGCAACAAACACCCCCGTCTCCCCCGGTTGCGGCAGCCTGCAGGGTCCCGGGCTCACTTACTGGGATTTTTGATTTCGTTGCTCAGGGCCATCAGACGTTCAAGCTCTAAAATTAAGAAAAATACTCGCGTCGGTTTTGCCCTGTACATTCAGAAGTTTACAAACAATCGGGTGGAGATGGGACATCACCGAGATTTAATCTGGGGTGGTGTAAGAAATGCGAACCGGAAGTGAAAGCACGAGTGGAGTTAAGCCACCTTCGAACACTCTCTTCGGCCGAGATCCTCACCATTTAATAACCCGGTCCCGACGGGCAGTGGGGTGTGTGAGGGCGGAGCCTTGGGGACAGCGGGTTTGGGGTGGGGGCGGCTTGCAGAGGGGAGGTTTACAGAGATCCATTTCCAGACCCTCTAATTCCATAGGATCCTAATATGGATCCGGCAGGCTGGGGACGGGTGGGTGGTCTGTGATTTTCTTCCCCCTGCGAGATGGCCTTCTTCCAAATGCTTCGCCCCCCCACGATTTCACTGTGAATGTATTATTGCCGCAAGTTAACAAAAACAAAAATGCATCACTCCTGAGTCTCAAGGACAAGCTAAGAAACCCTGAAGGTTCTCAGCCATTTCTTCCCTGCTTCCTTCTTTCCTTCTCTCTTTCCTCCTCAATGAGAATTGAGAAAGGCAGCCGTGGTCACGAAGGCATGTGTGAACATGCTGATTTGAACTCAACAATGAAGTCGGATTGCTCCTGACTGGACGGCTGGCCTGGCTTCCCGATGAGGTCTAAGGGTAGGAATCCCCGTAAATCAAATGGGCAAAACCTGCAGCTTCATCCACAAGACAGACGTCCAGAGTCCACATACGTTACAGAACACGCTGTAAATGCACATCGTTTACAACTATTTAAAAGGAGGGGCACCTGGGTGGCTCAGTGGGTTAAGCGGCCGACTTCGGCTCGGGTCATGATCTCGCGGTCCGTGAGTTCGAGCCCCGCGTCAGGCTCTGTGCTGACCGCTCAGAGCCTGGAGCCTGTTTCAGATTCTGTGTCTCCCTCTCTCTGACCCTCCCCTGTTCATGCTCTGTCTCTCCCTGTCTCAAAAATAAATAAAACGTTAAAAAAAATTAAAAAATAAAATAAAATAAAAGTAAAGACGCCATCTAGAAGCTTAGCGATGGTGCCGAGGGGGTACAGACCACTCTTCAGGGTTACCTAGGGGTGTTTGGAGCCTGAATGGTTTGAGGACCACGGAGTTGGGTCAGAAAAGGCAGCCTAAAAGGCACTGGAGCAGATTGTGGATGTGCCCCTATCTCTGGGCACGGGCACACTGAGCGAGGACCCCACACGCAGACTCTGTGCAGAGCCCCGGCTGGAGTCCTGCTCAGTCTGGTGAAATCTGCATTTGCTTCACCAGGCTTCCCAGCACCTGCACTGGACACGCAGGGGCCTGACGTCAGGGGCAGGGGGCGCCTCCCGGTGGAGGCCCAGGCCGCTCCCGCCTACCCACACCGGACGGCCACTCTAGCTCAGCTTGCCTCGGGACCACACTGCCTCCGGCCACCACGCCACGGGTGGCCGCACGGTCTGCTCATCAGGCACGAGAGGCATTTTAATAGAGGGCTCGGAGGGACTCAGAAGCTTCAAGGACCTGAAGAAACCTGTCTGGAACTGCACGGTTCACCCCACATCACGGTAAGGCTAACCTTGACCTGCACGTACGGCAGACAAGGGCTGGACACAAACAGACCGAAGCCCAGGCAGCACAAGAATCCGCCTCCCGAGGCTCCCTCGTTTGCCTAGCGGAGTCGGGTATGTGAGCCCACCTGAGACCACCTCCCCCGAGCCCCGTGGCCCGAACAGACTTTGCTCATTTCCTCCTTCGGTCTCCTACTCCTAGGAGAGCGCGAGAGGTTGACTCTGCTGGCTAGACCCTATTTCACACACAGAAAATGCATGTTTTCTTTTATCGTCCTGATTATTCAATGTTGGGAGGGAAGGGGGCGTCTTCCGTACGTGTCCCCTGCATCAATCTCACGGACTTACCTGCTAATATGCCCCTCCCTGCTTGCAAGCCTCCGAAATGTAGCAAAACCCAACGTTAAAAGCACAAGGGGGAAGCAGGGGCCGCCTGGAGGGCTCAGGTGGCTGAGCATCTGACTCTTGGTCTCGGCTCAGTTCGTGATCTCAGTTGGTGGGTCCGAGCCCCGCATTGGGCTCTGTGCTGACAGCGCGGAGCCTGCTTGGGTTTCTCTCTCTCCCTCTCTCTGCCCCTCCCCTGCTCACTCCCTCTGTCTCTCTCTCGAAATAAATAAATAAACTTGAGAAGAAAAGGCACAAGGGGAAGCTATAAAGGCAGCAGGTCCTGGGCCGGTGATTTACGTGGCGGACGGACTACAAGCTCCAGAGTCTCCTCAGTCCCACGGTAGGTTTGCTTCTGTAAATGTCCCGCACCCCAGCCTCCCCCCGGCACACGCCCTTTCCCTAAGTGAGTCCTTCCTGTGTTGCCGTCAATCTTTTCAAGCGTCACACACCGAGCCAGGCGAGCCCACGTCACGTGGACCTTACCTTCTTCATCCAACACAAAACTGGAGGACACTCCGTCGGTGTCGCTTACGGACACGGAGTACGTTCCTAAAGCCTCTTTATCCGGCTTTTTGAAGTACAGCTTCGAGCTGAAAGGGAAGAAGCATAGGAAACGTTACCGTTTGTGACGGTCCCCCGGAGTCCCAGCGGCCAGCTCCAAAGCAGACTTACTGGTCTCCCACCGTCTCGATCCTAAACTTCCCGTCGTCTCCGACCTCCTCGTAGGCTTTGCACCAAGTGAACTGGGAGGCGTCTGTCATTTCTTGGCAGTCAAAGCTCAGGTAGATGTTTCCTTCCTCGTCCACACCCGCGCTGATCTCCTTCGTGCCTGAAGGGCGAGGACACAGCTAGACGCCTTAGGATTCTTTTTTTGCTCTCCACGGTCACCGAGGACGCTGAGTCGGACCCGTCGGAGGGCAAACCACCGCGGGAGCAGAGGGCAGAGCACGCTGGGCGTTCCGTCCATCCCCCTCTCTGTGTCCAGGCCCGCCGTGGAGAGTGTGTCGGCCAGGAAGACCCTTCCTCTCTCTGAGATCTGGCCCCTCACCCCTGCTAGGCGCCCGGGCAGCCGTGGGCACACGCGGGCCCCCCTCTCTGCTCTCCTTCCCTGAGGGGCAGTGGGGCGGGGGGTACTTCTGGCTACTCTGGGAGCAGGTGGACACCCGGCCCATCGCAGGCCAGTCCGAGTCGGCCCCTCGGGAACCAGGGACACGTCAGCCTGGGCAGGTACGAATAGATCACCGGTTTCCGAGAAGGCAGAGAGGCACGGGACGCCGGGTGGCAGAAGGAAATGAAGCCAGCCCCAGGGAGGGGAACCGCCGACCCCCGTCTGCGGCTCGAGCACACTCCTTCCCCACGTGCCCTGTGTGCCGACCTCGTCCTCAGAGGTCACCTCCACGGGGCTTTGGCTACTTGGAACCGCAAGCAGTACCAACGGCTTCATGAGCTCCTGGTCCAGAGGCAGCAGTGAAACGAAGACCACTGTCATCCCCGCCGGTTGCGGTCCTCCTCCATGTAAAGCTGCCACTAACTCTGCCACGTGGCCTGGGGCACCCCACCCTGACCCAAGGGTCTGCCAGGGCACGGGGCTGGCTGGACACACGCGCTCCCGTCTGCCACTCAGCTGCTCCAGCATCGCGACGGGACCCAGCCGTCGCCGCGCTCACGCGGACACAGAGCGCGCGCCCCTCCTCCCGCAGCCCGGCCACCGCCTCGCGTCGCTACGCGCTCCAGTCTCACCTGGTCTTGCCTCCACCAGCACCGGCTCAGACGTGTCCGACGGCCTTCCCACCCCACTGGCGTTCACGGCCCGGACCCTGAAGACATAGGTCTTACCCTGGTGCAGGTTACAGACCTTGGGAAGACAGAGAAAATACCTCATGTCAGTTGACAAATGACACAGACTTTATACTCTTCACATTTTACCGTGAACCTGCTTTTTAAAAAAGCAATGCATTTTCCAGCTAGAACGGCTGCACGCAAGGAACAAGGAAGGCCAGAGGTGAGACAGGCTGACGATCACTCCCAGCCTTACTTTGCAAGAGCAAACGCTCACTCTTTCTTCAATGTTGCTACGTTGTTTCTTTTTTCTCTGCATGTTTCAAAGCAGAATTAAAATCACACCTCCAGTTTGCAACCTGAGGTTCATACTTAACACGATTCTATGGGATGAAATATTATTTTCCCGGTGAGTGCTAACTGCGCAAGATATCCCATCATTTGGAGGCATGAAGATTAAATCATTTTCCTCTCGCACATACGGAGGTAATGTGTACCGCAACCCGCACTGGTAAGTAAAGTATACCTAAGTCATTTGTTTTGCTAGATCCTTAGAAGCTGATCGGTTCATTCAGAAGAACCCGATCTTGTTTTACGCTGTCGGCTTGCTTCCCAGAGGCTGATGCCGATTTACGTGTCTGAAGGTGCAGCCGGGGACACAACTCAGGTGTGGTCTTTACGTACAGGCGTGTACGTGCCACGCCACGGAGACCCCGGTCAAGCGACGAAAACCCCTGGGTGAGGACAGCTGGGGAACAAACCAGCCAGGTGGCCTCCTGCTCCAAAGACCAGGGTCACAACTGCCCCCAGTGATGGGCAAACCGTAGGTGCTAAAAATAGAAACATGTGGAGCAAGAACAGTGCAATCTTGTGAAATGTACTAAAGCTGTGCGTGTGCTTCTTGGGCAGACGTCTGTGAGCGATCCTGAATTATTCGGACGAACTCCAAGGCCTGGAGCGCAAAAAAACCAGTAGTGGAGACCGTGCACGGTGGCACCGAGCTATGCGGGCGGCCGCCTGGTGGCCCAGAGCCCGTCCGCAGCGGGACCAAAGTCACCCTCCCCGCGAGGCAGCGAGCAAGCGGAGGAACACGATCACCTTTAAGTAACGGTTGGCGGTTGCTGCCTCGTTCACGGTGCTCCATTCTCCAGAATCCTCCTCCTTATAGTCCACAAAATACCCAGAAATGGGGCTGTTGCCCGTGTACATGGGCGCCTTCCAGAGCATGACCAGCGACGTGTCCCTGACCTCACAGAACGTCAGATCATAGGCAGGACCTGCAAAGTGGAACATACCCCGTGCGCATGCACGCACACGCCGGCCGCACAGCACAGCCGCCGCCCCGGGGAAACACTACTTTTTCACACCACGGACGTCGCTAATCTGCCTACTGAATGTCTCTATCGGCGTTTGTCCGAGAACGTCCGGGAGGAGCGTGGAGGGGGGAGTGGGGGGCGTCCGGCCGGCCCCACAGCCGCGCATGGGGCACGGGGGGCACTGCGGCCACCCTCGCGATGGCTCGTGAGCCCACATCGCTGCTCAGGACCAGCAGCCTGTCTCACAGACAGAGCAGGTGCACCCAGGTGGGGCACGCGTGTTACCCACGCCCACGCAGGAAACCTGTCCGCCGCAGCGCCCGCTCCCTGGCCAGCCCCATGCGTGCGCAGAGCACTCAGGGCCCCAGAGGGGACTCGTACCAGGCTCAGGCATGGTCCACGCCTCACACTTGAAGAGCTCGCTGGGGTCCGACGACTGCCCGATCCCCGCCAGGTTGACGGCCGCGATTTTGAACTCGTAGAGTGAGCCTTCTGTCAAGCCATCCACCTACGCGGATTATTCAAGTTAACGCATGAAATAAGCGTTGCGTTGCAGTCCGTTCACGACTGACTCACGAATGAACCCCGAGGGAGGGGCCACGTCGGTAAACTGTGCAGTGCTGTCAGGGAGGGCTGCGGATGCCCCTGCCGCATGTGGCCGCTCCAGGGGACCTCACCTGCTTTGCCCTGTTCCTTCCTTGCATGACCTCACCTACAGGGGCGGC